AGTCCATTGTCTTAATTATCATTTCCAAAGTTGAACCGTGGACGTGGTACATTCCCAAACGTTTCGCCGGCATCGTAGTCGGCATCAATTACCAATTGTTCTATTTTGAAGCTGCCGTACACAGTATGGGGGAGCTGACAGTAGGAAGGCGATCATTGAAATATGACGCCAAATAGGACATTCTAAACCTCACGGGCCACGGAGCTACATCTTGTTGTGTTCGTAAGAAGGACGTGGACTGTCTCTAAAATATAAAACAATTGCCCTCTATAACTTCAAAGATGGAAGCCCCGATAAGAAGAGATAAATAAAACAAATAGTTTTACCAATTGTCATATTTTGAAGCGGCCGTGGGGGAGCTAACAGTAGGAAGACAATCATTGAAATATGGCGCCAAATAGGACATTCTAAACTTCACGGGCCACGGTGGAGAGGAGAAAGAGAAGGAAAAGATCGTGACCGATTTGAACAAAATTTGAGCTACTTGATATACCCTTTCATAGTTTTCCATGCCAACCTCTGATTGGACGATGCGGTGCCAAGCTTTAATTGGGCCACGAGAAAATAAGCAAGATTAGTCACGCACTCACCTGATCTCTGTGCAAAAGGATGTTGAGCCGTGGCTACATATGGGATGTATAAAAACTAAACATTGAGTAGGAAAAGTGTGATGATAGGTCACCACAACTCTATCACTTCGCAACTTCATCTGTTTTAATTTTTCAATTTGATACGTTGTTACTCTGCTGGAACGATTGTCCCTTACTAAGGATGCCGGCAAAACGTGTGGTGATGTATCAAGTAAATATTATGATGTTATGGTAGAGGGCACCAGACTAGGTACGCCCTAACCAAGCTGCGAAAACAAGGTCTAATCTATCTGTATTTTTTCCACTACTTAGCATCATTATATTTAAGTAACTGCTTCGTTCATTTGTTAAGCATTTTCCTGTTTTGTGTGATATAAGCCTTATTATCCGGAAGCTGAGACAAAATTGTCTGATTTTTAAACTTTAAGATTGCATAAGCTGATTAAAGGCTGATAGTTTAATTTTAATTCAATGATTTGCTTAGGCCCCATCTTAAAGTTAAAGCTAAACAAATATATGTAACTTTTTCGTTCCTTATTGAAATTCATTCCTGCCCTGTGACGAAATCCAAGAATTTATCATTTCAAAAGTTTAATCCTGGACATCATAACTAATATGGCAGAAGAATCCGGACATATTAGTTCCACTTAGGTCCCTCTGATCTCATAACTAAGCTGCGAAAATGTGTTTAAAAAACACCTTTACAACTAAATTATACCATGACCATAATTTCGTTTAAAGGTTATATGTTAGCTAATAAAATTTTTATCAAAGTTATTTGACTTTGTTTTCGCGACTTAGTTACATTGTCAGACAGACCTAGAGGAATGCAACTTGTCCGAAGTCCATAATATGCATGATAATTTAAGGAGGCGGACCGTGAACTCCAGGACAATTGGTGAAAGGATCGACTTGACTTTACTCTGACGAGTTGTGTGCTGCTAACAACAGCAAGGCTCACTGACGATACCGGCGAACGTCTGGGAATGTACCACGTCCGCATTCCGACTGGAAATTAGCAAGCATACTTTTGACTCCGGACAAGGTGCCTCCTTCTAGCTCTTTCGACCAATATGGCCAAGTTGCGTCAATAAGTTCAACCAATTTATATACAATAAAGAGACAATGGCCATACTTAAGGCCAAACCATCTTGGTCTTCATACTATGTTTAAAATTTTTATATTTATTTTTATAGATTCAGCTTGTTTATCTGTTTACTTAACCCTTGCTTCTAACAAGCTATTTACAGATTAATAGCAGATATGAAGATATAATCCCGATCTTCATGACTTTAACTCATTTCCTTAACTTGGCCATGTTGTAATGTTGTCCGGCTTCCCCTCTTATTGTATTCATGATAGTTTCCAGCTTCAGATTGGGGACTTGGTATATTCCCAGACGTATCGATATCATCAGTGATTTTTTTTACACCTATTTACGACAATTCAAAAATGCAAAAGAAATATATTCCTTGACCACTTTTCTACTGAACTATTGTGATATCCTTCCTTCAACCCTGATAATTCCACCTAGACTTATCTTCGTTTCTCCATATCTCTTTCAAAAAATCTTAATGGGTAGATAACTAAAAGGCATGTTAAATAATGGGTTAGATATGCGATTACAGGTAGCACTAAATCAGTGCAACTAATCCAAATTATATGGAGTTAGAATTTAAAGTACTTATGGACCTATGTGACATAAAAGCTAAAGTGAATTTATCCTTGTGTCTCCTTAGACGTGAAAATATCGCGATTCTTAAAAAAGGATTGTTTCTTCTAAAATTGAAGAAACATTTTAGTTGAAATTT